AAGTTGAGCAGCAAGTGCATTCATGCACACTTACACAAAACGCTCGCACAAATGCCAACTCCTGAAACCTCCCTGAAGAGAGGGTGATGGAAATTCTGCAACAAATTAACAGCTATAGGACTACAAAGCACATCTGTGACATTACATTGGCTTGCTCAGTTTAACAGTACAAACGTTTATTTTCTTAGGCCTCTGCATCTGCTGAAATGTTACACTACTTTAACAGCAGTTGAAATTCTTTTAAAATAATCTTTTTGCGTTTCTTGTTGAGAATGAGGTTAAATTATTCATTAGAGTGGCGATAAATAATCGCTGACTCAGTTGTTAAATTAATCTTCAAAAAGATCTGATTGGTCAGATCTGTTTATTTTCATGCAAAAAATCTGAAAAATAAATGCTGCAAATTCATCCAACAAAATTACACAGTCGGTGCGAATGGCTGCGTTAAGATTAGGTGAGTTCAAAAGATATTTCTAACATGCAAAATTTTCACATGAATTTTATGCGTCTTGTGTGTAAAGTCCTTAACAATGGTCACTGGTGAGCTTTAAAACTCTAGGAGGCAGTTTTATTTGTCATTCTGCTAGCAACTGCTAGCTAGTTAGACTGGCAGTTAAATAATCATTTTGGGTAAAGGTATTTTTACAATTTTTAGTTTTGATTAAGAAACAATTTTAGCTTAAAAATCCTTTTGATGGTACACTGCCCTGTAAAAGTGAGAAGGGCTTCTTAGATCTAAGTTGGGTGAACACATAAAGCCCTTTTCCACTAGTACCTGGTCAATTTGACGTGACTCGACTCGGTTTATGTTGTTTTCCATTACAATCAAGTTCCACCTAATGTGCAAGGCAATTGGCCGATATTTCTGTGACATCATTTGTATGCAACATGAACACCACAACAATGGAGGAAGTCGAGTCGATGGTGTACCTGCTGCTCTGCAAATGGCTTTTGACAGACTCAGAGACCACAGTGTTGCCATTTCTCTCAATGCCAGGTTTCAAAAATGGCGTTTTTGATTTCTGCGAAAGAGACGTTCATTAGACTCACTGAGTGATACCACTGCCACAAACTATGGGTCTTTAGCTAGCTATAAGAAGAACCTAGCTCTGTATTCTCAGTAACTACGATAAAACAGACGAAAGAAGACCTAGACTCCAGTCACAGAGGCATAAAGACTGGTTGGCGACCCCACCTGGCAATGTACAAAACCCTCCGTGTGATTGCTTTGGTTGCTAGCATATTGCCAAGCTTGCTCACAGTATTTAGAGAAGATATTGGCATGCCTGCACACACTCGCTAACCACCAAGCATGAGTTAAACTTGAAAAGAATGTTTGATTTCAAAGTAAAAGTTTGCTGAAAGCTGAAAACAAGTCATTTTAAAAAGCCCAACTTTCAAACTGTGCAACCTCAGATCAAGTTGGGATATTTTAGGTGTGGTACCATACACCTCTTTGCAACAAGCAGGATGACTGCAGGAGGTTTGCTTGCGACTAGCAAACAACCTCCTACAGTTACCCACTTATCATCTGAGGAACACTAATTTTTGCATTTTCCCAGTGAAAAGTGGTTCCCTTTGTGACTGTTGCTTTAATTTCCAGAGGCTCGGCCACTAGCTAGATGTCTTAATGAAAAGTAAGGGACAACCGTTGGGGTGAAGGAACCAAAAATTGCAGTATCTTTAAGTGTCACTTTAGGCTGGCTCCAAAAACAAGTTCTTCTCCGTAGACTCCATAGACTCTTCTATATGGATAGCTTCCCCCTTCAAAGCAGCAGTATGGTGGATGACTTTTGTTATTTCTCATCTATCTGGATACTGAATGTATCCAAATGGATTATGCGCAGGCCACTGTAGCTGATTTCTGTCTGCTAGGCCTCACCTCCACAAATCAGTTATTCGGGTTGGACCTCTCCACTGAATTCATGCTGTTGGTGCTACAGGTTATGAATGCAGATTATTGGCTGGTGCCTTTGAATTCCACTTTCTCATCCAAATATGGTGGCTAAAACAATATGGTGATGGATGGATGATGGACTATGGCTCTGGCGACATCCATCTTTTTTATGTCATCACTGTTTTCAAAGGATAATATTTATGAAATATTTCAAATTAAAATAGGTCAGTTTTGACTTGAACACAGTAGGAGGGTTCATTTTTCCTCCATACAGGATTTCTTTTTTGTGCCACATAAAGCGCCTAAGCCACCAGAAAATTACCAGCAATATAATATTCCAGTGCTATGATGGACTGGTGGCCTGTCCGGGGTGTACCCCGCCTTTTATCCCATGACAGCTGGGATAGGCTTCAGCCCCCCCGTGATCCTGAATTGGGTAAGTGGAAGAAAATGGATGGAAAATGGACGGCTGGATTATTTTTTAAATTAAGCTCTTTGTTTAAAATGTTTGATAAGAGACATCAAAAGCCTTTGAGCTCAAACATCTGGCTCTATGGGCGCAACTAACATTTTATGACATTTCCAGCCACAGTTTAATTGAGGTGTTATGTACAGATTATTTGTTTTATTCCATACACTGATCACTTCACATAAGCCCCAGAATCAGAGCCAGCTCTTCCGTGCACTGCTGTCATTACTACACCACTTATCCAGGCCCTGCATGTCTGTCTCCACTCCTCGTCCTACTCATGTACACACATATATACAAAACTCATACATCAAAGCGCTGCACTCGATTCCACGCAAAAGATAAACACGGGAAGCCCTGCAGATGGTTAGCTCTAGGATAGAGGTTTCTCTGTATGTTCATGTTTGCATGAGTGTTTGTGAGGAGATCTCCTGAAAGATGTTAGAAAAATAGAAGTGTCTGTATATTTCTTTCCATCTTAAACCTCTTGGGTGGACCAAAGACGAGGACTTTTTTTTTTTTTTTGCACACAGCAGATATTATTCACACATGTAGGATAACATTTGAGCAGAGCTGGCCAGCTTTATTAGTGGCAGTTTACAGGGATATCTATGACAGTCCCATAGCTCTCTGGAAGCTCCTTTACATTATTTCGGGGTAATGGCAGGTTAATGGAAGCCAGGTGGAGCCTCACTCCACCAGGAGCACTTGATTGACAGTGAACTGTGTCGATGAATTGGAGTGCAGCTACCCACAATCAGGGTCGGGATGGAAACATGGCAATTCTCAAACAACAGCTGCTTTTCTTGGCCACAACAGAGGCGCCATTTCCACTCATCTAAGACTACTCAGTACATGTAGATATGGTCATGCATGTGCGTCTGGCTTTTCTCTTTGCTTGTTTGTGATTAAATGTGTCTATTGACTAAATACTATTGCACCAAGTCCCTTGAATTTGAAGCCTGGATTTTGAGCGTAAGCACTTAAAAAAATAAGTGGAAATGAACAGCGACATTGCTTCATAGAGGGTGGCCTGTTCAGTGTCACTATGTTTATAGTGTAGTTAAAACCATTTGGAAAGTGCGAAGTCCAGAGTAGGATTCTGATTATTGTATTTATGTTTATTTTGCTTTAGAGCAAGGCATTTTTCCCCACTTAAATATAATCAAGATTACGTTCACAGAGTTACTTGGTTTGACTATTAGCGATAAGTGGCTAATGATAGCTAATTTTTGATAGCTATTAACGATTGTGATTAGTTTGTTAGTTTGTTGACGTCACCACTTTTGGGTTTATATTCTTTGATATTTTTAATCTTGACAAAATCAGTGCTGCAGTAGCAGAGCTACAGTCAATCTGAATCATTCATTTCAGTTCCATAAACTTGTTGTAGTAAGAAACTGTCCGATTAAACTGACACAAAAATGCTATCCCGTTTGTTTCTTTCTGGCATATTTGGTTTAAATTGTGTTTATTTTCAGATTGATTTGACTATAAATGCAAAACAGAGCGACAGAAAGTCAGGTGGCAAAATCCGACTCAAAATTAGCAGAGGCTGCTTTTTATTTATGATTCACCGAAAACATTCTTGTGTTCATGTTGATGTCTTAGGAAAAATGTTTAGTAGCACACCAAGAGTTAGACTGCAGGCTATTTGTGTTTGAAATGCAAAAATGTGTGTCATTGGACATTAGAAGGTTAAATTTGCCATGATATGCATAAACCTTGCATTGACATTATTTGAAGTAGATCTTTGGGAGATTACTTGATGCTAAAGGGAAAACCTTTTGCTGTAAGGCCAAATATTTCTATGGAAGGGTGGAATTTGGCCATTAGGGCAGCTTTCGGTTACACCATAGATATTCTGTTCTCATTAAAAAAGAACATAAGATGAAACACCAGATATGTCATATCTATTATATGTCATATGTATGGTAATGTGAGCAGAACTGCTGCAGTACAAATTTGGATTTTTAAATCACCCATCCGATGCTCAACCTATTACAGCTTTTTTTTTTTTTTTTACATCATTTTATACATAAATTTATCACTTCCCTTTCATGGTTGGTTCATCTTCCATCAGCAAAGCAAGCTGCATGCTCTCCATTTTCTTAAATTTACAGTGGCACTAGTGTACAGAACAACAACACTGTATGACGATTTTTAATTTATACTCTTTTTATAAAATTACAGATTACACGGGGACCACGTGATACAGATGGTTCATACTCCCACCGGTAAAAAAAATCAGATCAGGCTTCTTGCAGATCATCAAGACAATAACTTGTTCTCCAGAAAAAATCAAGAAATACACTTGAAACTAAATCTATTAGGATATACGCTCATTTCCTCATTTAGCCACTTGTGATGATATCAAGGGGTGTTTTTTTTATTCTTTTTAAGCTTATTTACAGCATTTTTCTTATCTGTTGTTGTTCTTTTGCTGTCGCAAATCTTTTAGAGGGTCGTGTTTTGATGTTAAAATCCCTCTTAGTATTAGGTTGTGCTTATGCAGCCCTGATTTAGATGTCTGAGTCTATAATCACAATATGCTGTTCAGCTCTTTCTCTGAGAGCCATGATTGGGATGTTAACTGCTTGGCAAAAGAACATGACACCCAGGGTGACACGGGGATTACATGTTCTATATTTAGTCTTTATGTACATGAATATTGGCAGGACAGCTCTGTACATGTGACACACACACACACACACACACACATACACACGCACACACATACACAGCGATACAGTGATAATAACACAGATCTCCAGCACAGAACACATTTACAAGATGGGCTCTAGAGCAAACACTGGCTGAGATACACACGGGAATGTCTGAGCTACGACAACTTCCTCATAAAACTGGAATTTTCTTGTAACAGTTACTATTGTCATCAATAAAACAGACAATTAAAAAGAGAGATGAAAAGTATAAAATAATTTAAATTCCTCCTAAAATGCGTCATGAATATGCGGTGACAGATCTATACAAAGCGGGCAGCTACTGTATCTCCTTGACACACTGAAACCGAAGGATGCAACAAACATGACAGACAAAAGCGAAAGTCATGCAGCAACAAAGGAACAGAGAAGATGAAAAAAGGGGATCTTCTTTGAAGTTCTGCCCTCCCAGTGGCAGCATGATGTCAAGATGACAAGCCTGGTAACAAAGCACCTCACGCTATGGGCCACCCAGACGTGCCACAATGAAATGTAAACATAAATATACAGGTTGAAATCTCTCTCTACAAACAGTTCAGTCCCTGCCACGGGCCCATCAGCTGTGTGAGTAGTCAGTCTGTATACACTCCTTAGTAGAATATCACTTAGAGTTAAATAAACTTATTTAATATATATATTTATAATAGATTTATTCTTTGCAGAGTCTTTTAGCAGTATTTCCTTGTTTTCACCAGTTTGTTCTGGTATTTTACTGAGTGGCCACTGTGTCCCACCACGTAAACGTCCAGCAGGTAGGTCTTTCCTGGCTCCAGACCTGTGATGGTTTCTGTGGTCACAGCTTTCTGCAGGTTCGGGCTGTGGAAGTACTTGCACAGGACCTTTTCTGACTTCCTGCGGGTCTCTGGTCCAGCACATTGATTTTGTTCCCGGCGCCGCTGCTCCTCGCCGTAATTGTCAGCCACTTCCTTGCGGTAAATGCAGTATTTGTTGCGGTCCTGCGTGCCCAGCCAGGCCACAGTGACGGAGGAGCAGGTGCGCAGCTTGTCAAAGGCCTTGATGCGTGTATCCTCCGGAAGTGAAGGGAAAGGCTGCTTGCTGCTGGGTCGGGTGCTGGCAAGCACCTTCAAAGTGGAGGCTCCTTTTCTGCTGCCACGGAAACGGATCAGGTATTTGGCTTTTGGCTTTCCCCGTAGCTGGAACTGCCGTATCCCCTCCACATTCTGGGAGAGCAGCAGCTTGCCATCTCGCCTCACCTGCACCTGCACAGCATCCAGACATGTGTGTACAAAAAGAGTGACCCTCTGGTGGGAAGACACGGGAGCGAAGCGCAGGAACTTGCTGCCCTTCCTTTTTATGAAAACCTCTGATACTTTGCCGTCCTTCAGCTCAACTGTCTTCTGACGAGCCTCCTCTTTAGTGCGAGCAAAGGTTCCCACATATGCTGTGCTGGTGTTGGTAGCAGCATTTACTGCAAATACATCAAAGTAGTACTGTGTGTCTGGTTTCAGGTCTGCCACCGTGAATATGTTTTTATTGCCAATGCACACCTTCTGGATGTCTGATACCCTGGGCTTGGCTGCGTATGCCCGTGAGATCTTGTTACTTGTGAGGCCCCGGTCTTTGCCGAAACCATTGTCAAAGCCAAAGTGCACAAAGTCGAACGGGCTAAAGTCTCTGCCGGGCTTCGGAGCCAGCATGAATGCATCGTCAGTGCTGATTTTAGCCTCGGCAGCACACATGCTTTTGAAATTGTGCTCCTTGTTGATCACTACGCAGTACTGCACAGGCTGGCCCATCAGCAAGCCGGTAGGTGTCGGTTTCCAGGCCAGTGTGACGGTGGTACGGCCAAGTGCAGTGACATCCACGCGGGGGTCGTAGGGCAGCTCTGGGTAGGGCTGGTCAGACTCCGGAGTCGTGGTTGCGTACACCTTGAAGTTGCTGTCTTTCTCAGTGGACAGCAGTTCAAGCTGGTAGAGACCAGAAGGCGTGCTTGTGGCCACATAGGACTCCACATCATTGCCCTTGTAGGTGAAGAGCTCCGTCCCTTCATCTACTGTCACCTGCTGTTTCTGTTGGTCCAGAGGTTCAGGCTCTCCTGGAAGATAAAAACCAAACACACACAACATGAGCTGTTTGCTTTAGTCACCAAATTAGACAACCCTTGCAATATTTTCTTTTCTTCTTTGGCTTTGATGAAAGAAAATTTCCACCCAAAGTGAAAACTGTTTAACGCTGCAAGATCATGACTAAGCCTCATGGATCATTATCCCACACCCATGGAAGCCATGTTTTCACTCCAAACATCCCCAAAGATCTCAGGCCAGCATTCACTCAGCCTTTCTAGGGAAGTTTTGCTACAAAGAGGCGCCTTGTAGCTTCTATGTGAGAGGGACAGTCTAAGCTCTTACTCCAGCTTGAGCAAGAAACCATAATATTATGTTTGTCAACCAGAGAGAGTGTGCTCAGCGGTGTACTAAAAATTAAGCTCAAAGATCAACTCCCAATAGAGATTTCTAGCAGGAAAAGGCTGCAAAGACAGGAAAGATTTCACTAGCTGCTCTGTTTCTGCACCAGTTTTCGTGAAGTCACTGCCACTGCATGAGTCCAAATTTGTCATTATTCTTCCAGCTCAGGATGAATTCTCTTCTCTTGAAGCGCGGTCAGTGTCCACAACAGTGTAACTACCCATTTGATCTGACAGGAACAAAGACACACATGCAGGTGCTCATGTCTGGACATTCAAATATATGCTCACATCACACATCAGTGCTCTAAACCCCTGCTTTAGTCATCTGGCAAGATCTCCTCTGCTGAAAGGACACCTTCCAGATGGGAAAAGGTTTTAATGTGAAGCAGAAAAACAGAAAAAATGAAGGGAAAAAGGAAGACAAACAGACTGAGTGTAGCGGGATTTATCTTAAGAAGACTGAGGCGACCTAAGTAAAGGGATGTAATGTCTTTGATTCTTTAGGGTGACTAGAAAACCACTGAAATTATAGACATCAAACTGGGCCGAGTCAGACCTCATAAGTGGTCAGACTAGACACTACATCTGTGACTTAATTAAAACCCACGAAAACACAAAGCCTAACATCACTGCGTAGGTTAATTGTGTGTGGGGATAGTCATATTTCCAGATAACGTGTAATTAACCTCTTCCACTGCTGCCTTATGTCAGTTATACCTGATCCTCCTCCGCTGGCGTCTTCTGGCAGCTCCTGCAGAGTGAGTTTCCACTCCAGAGGAGCATCACAAGGTGTCACGGTCACAGACAGGGGTGTGTTGTCTTCTTCCACCACAAAGTAGTACCTGTGAAAATAATAGGCCAGATATAAGCACCAATGTTCATCATAGTTTGACATTATCCTAAATAATATGTGGAGTAAAGGCGTGAGCAGACTATAATAGGTGAAGCACGTGGTGGCATATAGTGTTTTGCCTTGAGTGGAGAAAGACTTTCTCATCTATTATTTAGTTTTTGCATCAACATAATAGATCCTATTACAGGGTAACATCTGATGTTTCCTATCTATTTACAGTAAGTAGACATCACCAGGTTTAATGTTTCCTTCAATGATTGAAGCAGTCACCAGCACACGGTTTAACTGGCTCATTTTTTTAACCACCACCCTGATATTGTTTGTCTCACAGAGCTCTTACCTTTTGGGTGTGTCTCTGAAAAGATAGCCACTGATCTCAGCTCCGTCCGGTATGACTGAGGAGTCGTGGAATAGCGACTTGTCTCTGATCTGCATCTGAAAAAGACCTTCATCTCTCGTAGGCAGTTTCTGGGCAACAGATCCAAGCCCCAACAGTACTAGCAGCACCACCACGCTCCAACCTTTACACTGCCTCATCCTGAAAGACACAGAAAATTGACTTCAGTTTCATTAAGTGTTTTGTGATTTTTCGCAGATGCTCCTGATCGTCTGAGCAAAGAATTCACTCTTCTTCTTCTATGGTTCTTAAATGAGGATGTGAAAACCACATGACACAAAGATGTCTTTAAGTAGCACTTTATTAGCCTTTTCTTGAGTATAATAAGTTAATCATTGCTTTGCCTGACTCCTTACAAATAAGAAACCTTTTCAACTCAAGGTGAGTCTGTGAATGACCTTATACCACAAGACAAATTCAATGTTAGCAAAAAGCTGATATGCTACAGGTGAATTTGCCCATTAGTTTAAATTTCCTTCATCTTCACGTAACGTTTACTTTCATCATCCATGTTTCAGTCTATATGCCTACATATAGACACACCTATACATATATAACCACAACACGGACAACCTTGTCAGTTGCATTGACTCACAGGTGTCCCGAAACAGACAGCTGGAGCCAATCATTGTCTGTTAGCCCTGTCTCTGCCATTTGATATCAATAGACCGGATCTCTTCACTGTGTATGTGGTGGTGGTGCCTTTTGGAGCATTTTATCTAATATTATGGCTTGCTGTGTGAGTCAGATTATTAAAAGTTCATGCTTCAGCTTTGGTGAGTAAAAAAGGCGAGTAAAATTGCTTGCTCGGTAACCAAGCTTGCTAATGTTAGCATTCCACCCTTTTCTCCATATAAGGAAACTTCTGGCACAAAAAAACACACCGCTACAGTGGCGAGATCAAAATGCTACAGCTGACACTTCAAAATACAGAGTCCATAACCAATGTGTGATGTCATAGTGGCTATGTCCCTCGATTATTGAGTTAATATTAGCATACAGACTTGGATTGGCACAAGAAATTCCATATGTGTCACAGTAAAGACAAAAAACCTGCACAAACTATTTTTTTAGCTGGGTTATTTTTATTCTTTTCTTTCTTTACTAAGCTAAACTAATCGACCGTTCTTCCTAAAATTTCTAATTATTAGTTTACAGAAAAATTTAAAAAAACTTTGATAAAAGAAAACGTTTAAGCATTTTTATTTCACATTTATTCGATCTGAAAGTACCCTGGGCCACCGCTAACACTGGCAGCATTAAAGTACCATGCACAAGCTACAGAGGAGAACATACAAACTCGAAACCACCTGCTGTGAGGCAACGGTGCTAACTACTGAGCCACTGTGTTCCTCATTGAGCTGAGCTGGCTGCTTTCATTGTTTCCAGTCTCATTATGCTAAGCTATGCTACTTGACTACAGAAAAGGCTGAAACTTGATGTTTAGCTTACGCGCATAAAATTAATATCAATCTCTCTTCTCAGCAAGAAACTGTATACCACACTGAGTACCTCGTGTGTTAATGCACACTGTCAGTAAATATTAAAGGCTCACATTAGCTAAAGTATGTCTAAGATTTCTGTTTTTCTAATGGAATTTCTAAATAACCTTGTTTTATCTCTCCTTTTATTTTGACATTGGTTCAAAACTGCTGATGTTAATGAGTGTGAGCTGTGACATGCATACAGTGTTTTAGTGAGCTTCTGCTTTTGTCCGCAATGTAATATATTTTATGCTAAAATGTGCTTCTTATCCATGTTTTCCTCCTAGTTTCAGCCTTAATTAACATTTAACTTAAAATCCTGATCACCATCTGGGAACGAATCAGAGACGAAGAGCCCCTGAATGAGTACCCAAGGCCACAGAGAGGAAGGGGGATTAGATTTAAACAGGAATGTGTGAAGGAAAAGATATTGCTTGGCACTCCGGGGACCCACGCCGTTTCATAAAACGCTTAATATAAAAATCCCCAAATCCATGTAGTTTAAGTTTTATTGACACTAATATAAAAATGTTTGGAGATGCAATCCACAGTTGGAGCTGCAGCCGATGTGGCTGAGAGGCTCTCACGTATCCCCTGTCTATTGATTTCTGCCCATTGATTGCAGCTGATGGGAATGCCAAATCCCCGGTGATTTAATCAGTGTAATGATGGCAGATTAGCCAGATACTTTACTGCCATTTACTGCAAGTGAGATGGTGTCCTTTTAATGACCCCTCTCCCTTTCTCTGCTCGCCCTCCTTTGTCTGTCTCCTTCCCTTGATCACAGTTTTTTTTTCATCAAATAATCTCTTTCACACTTGTACACACACATCCCCTCCTCTCAGTTCATCTTTATGCTTTCTCCTCCTTCACCGCCTCCCTCAGCAGAGGCAGATAAGTAAAACCAGAGGACTCGGGCATGGATGAATATCCACACTACACACAGGGCTTCATTTCTACATTATAGTCCTTTAAAAACACAAGCAGGGAAAAAAGCCCATGACAGCTCCTGTCAGTGTCTCTGCTGTTGTCTGAGCTCAGCCTCCCGTCACACCGCCAGACTTCAGAGAGCAAAAGGAAAGCCGCCTAAGTGGTACTTTGAGGTTTGACTCACACAGGGACTTGAGATCCTTATCGCCTCGGCTTGTCTCATTCCACTTCAGAAACATGTCAGTTGGAACAAAGACATGTCTAATAATACTTAAGACAGCGCTGAGGTAGTACGCGCAGAGTCTCTCAGTAGCATGCACAGCATTTCTCAGAGCTGCCTTTCTTTCAAACATCCCAAAACACTCCACAGACACAACGAGGGCCTCGTCCCCTCACCCGGCTTTGTCCGCCGCAGTCACACACTGAGGTTTTTAATCACCGCTGCCTTAAACATTTGATGCGTGCCTTCCCCGTGCTCTTCACATGTGACACCACATACTGTATATTGCAGGGAGATGACATCTAAATATCAGAGCAGTTGTGTTGGGTCACTGTGGTTGCATGGACCAGCGCAGAGTCAACATGGTCACACAGCCGGCGCTGGATGTGCTTTTACATGCAGGCCTGCACCATTCTCATGCCACAGAGTTCCCTTACGAAAATAACACATTAAAAAAAGCTGCATCTGGAACAAATAAAGTCTAATGTTTAATTAGAATGGGGAAGAATGTATGATCCCAATTTAGGGAATGGATAATTTTAAGGCAAAGTAACCCACAGTCGTGTCAACTTTGTTTTGCTTTTGCCTTTCATCTCTTTATTTATATATTTATAGGTTTTTGTTTCACTTTCATTGGTATTTGCCAAGTATTTTCTGTAGAAAACATTGTGTATTTTCTAATTGGCAAGCTGTGGAATTTAGAGAACTGTGTAACTGGATTAAAGGACAAATGCAGGAGTTTACAATGGGTGAAAATAGTCCCAATTTTCTTTCCCATGGCTGTCTTTGACACATCTAGAGTATCAGTCTTAAACAAATAAAACAAGAAAGGACCCCCACCTCCTTTCCCTTCCTGTGTAATCTGTAGAATTGCATCCTATCAATTGAGTTTCTACTTTAACAACTTTGACCCAGCTCTAATTTGGGGTCATTACAAGCAAATCATGTGCACAGCCAAAACAAAAATGTTCACACTTTGTATTTAAATCTCCCAGATGGATGCAATCTTTTCAGCGACATCAATCCGTAGCAGAATCAAAATCGTTTACGATCCACTGAAGATTAAAGTGAGAAAAATATCAATTACATGCAACCATTTGGCCACAACTTTCATCCACCTGATCGACTCTGTGTGCACGTGTGAGAGGAGCGTATTTTCAGCAAGAACATGGTGATTATAAGCACGTGATTTTCACGTATGGGGCTTTTTCTGATCACAAGGCAGGCTATATCCATGCAACCCCCAGCCTTGTCCTGCGTGCGTGCACGTATATGCTCACGTGTGTGTGCGCAAAACACCCCCCACCACCACCTACACTCTCTCACTTCACTTTGTTTCTCTCCTTCCCTCCAGCTCCTTGTCAAGATGGATAAGCCTCCTGCCTGCTGCCACATGGAGCTCATTAACAGAACGGGAGGGAATAAAAGACAGTTTAATTTCAACACAAATAAAGAGACATTTCGGATTCCACCCAACAAGACGCCTGGCATGAGCTCGCAGGACCTGAAGCCTCTGTGTGTTTTCTTAAAGGAAGTCTAGATTTATGGCGGGTCCTCGGTAGCGAGCTCCATCATGGCTGTCACTTCAGGGCCAATGTGGAGATTAGAGTAAGTAAAGTATATGCAGGAGCCAAAGAGGGAACCACACAGGACCTGGACCTGTTCTATAGGCAGGCCAAACCAAATCAGGTCTGGTGCTCTTGGACAGCTAAACAGCTTATTAATAAATTGGTAGAGACTGTGGTAAACGCTCTGATCCAACAGTGGAGATTTTAATCTGGTGTGTGTGTGTGTCCATACGTGCACACATATGCGGGTCCAAACCATTGCATTCCTCTGCTCCACTCTGTGTGTAAGTCTAAATCATCACTCAGGACCTGACTCCTCGCCATCCACAACATCGCTCGCAGTTTGAGTTTCTGAGCTATCCACATCATCAGAACCACTAAGGCTGGCACAATAGCATCATGGAAACCAGAGCCCAGTTTCCTTTCCTTCTTACCCTCCCCTTTCCTCTTCGCTCCTTTATATTTCATCTCTGATCCCTGCCTTTAGCTTTGCATCCTGGAAATTCTCTATGAGGGGGTCGCGGGGGCGCTTTCTGTGTAAAAACAACTCAAATAGAATTGAGGGTGGGGGAGTGGCGGTGTCTCTGACTGATGTGCTGGCATTGTGGCTGCAAGGGTGATTAAAGATTACAAGAGAAAATGCCCCCCCATGGGAAAGTCATCCACCCACTGCCCATCATCCGGTGCACGCATGCACGGGCCTGGCCCCGTCGTGGGAAATGAGTCAATCATGATCCGGTATGTTGTGCTTGGTTGAGGAGGCAGAGAAGGGGAGCACAGAAAGCCTGTTCAGCAGCTAGTGCGAGCAGGCTCTGCCTCTTCTTGTGTCCATCTGAGGGAGCATAATGAGGAGCTTTGCAATGAGCGTGCCCGGGCGGGGGGAGACGAGGAGAAGCGCATGGTGTGTGGATATGATGAATAATTTAACAAGGAAATAAAAACTTTGCGCCCTTAATCTTCCAGCACTGACTCTGGATATGTGACAAAAGGCAGCGGAGAGGCGACTGTATATACACCACTGAAGCCTGTCACTTCTCTGGACGCAAAACGGCTATAGCAACACTGGCGGAATTCTTTCAGCCAGAGAGTTTTCATATGCAAATCATGGTTTAGTTACGGTATGCGACGCAGACCTTCCCATTTTAAGACTTTTTTGTTCATGATTCATTCTCCTGAGAAAGTAGAAGGGAGGCAGTGTGGCTTCACCCTGCTGCTAAATACAGTTATTCAAATCCCCACTCCGGGTATGTCTCTCATTAAACACCGACTGAGAGCCTCTCACATGGACCGAATGAGGAAAACAACTCCCAACACCAGCTAAATTATCATTAATCTGCCTGGAATAATTCTAATTGAAACAATGCAGACGGTGCCAAGTCAAATAAATCCAATTTTTCACTTATATTAAAAAGCAGCTCTTCATTACGCGCTTCACTAAAGCCTGTCTGGGCTCTTACAGGTGCGTAAAAGGAACCCAGTTGTGACACGGTGAAACTAACATTTATCAAAACTGTAGTCCTTATATAAAACTTTTACATTTTACAACTAAAAGCGAACAGAGTGAAAACACCACAATTGGTGCACAGGTAGCTAGAAATACAGCATGTGTAGAAAAATCGCCTGTGTTGGGTGCTGTGTCACCCCTGGGAGCATGGGAACTGTCGCGAGGCACAAAACAAGAGGATTTTCGTAAAGTTCATCAGCTCATCTGCCCCGTGTGATATAAAGCCCAAAACAAAATAAACTACAATTAGAAAAGCATGCGAGTTGTGGCTTGAATGAAATGCGTTTGAAACTTTTAACTTCCTGGAGTTGTAAACCGCAAACCGTTTCAAAGGCACCAGCTACTTTACTCAGAGAGTCCGACTCTGAATTCATGCGGAGCTTGCATGCATATTACAAAATAAATAAATAAATAAATAAAGCTACAGAAAAGTTTAAGAAAATAAAGAAGTTTTTTCTCATATAATTGCTCGAAGAATCGGACAAACCGCTACACTGCAGAGAAATCAAGCGAAAAATAAATGCATAATCTTTACAAGAGACAGTCTTACCTCTCGCAATATGAATCGACGACGTTATCTGCAGAATGGTGTCTGTTTTTCTTTAAAAGAAAAAAAAACTCTTACAAAAGTGCTTTAAAACTAAATCGATTGATGTAAAAATAAAAAAAAATAAAAACACGCGCTGTCCTCTGCAGTGTCCAGTATCCCCTCCTTTAGTTTTCACTTCTATTGTTGGTGTCTATCAATCGGATTAGACGACTCTGGTGCGTGCTTGCAGTTTTCTTGTGGATTGAACTGGTCTCTGGTGGGCAGGAGTGTGTGTGAGAGTGTGCGCGAGTGTGTATGAGTGGGTATCCCGAGTGCTGGCAGTGCGTCCCTCCCCTGCCGCGCCGCTGCTATTGAAACCTCCACTGGATTGGAGGCAAAACTAGTGCGAACTTCTTCTTCTTCCCTGCGCTCCAAGACAGAGAACCAGCCCACTCTTTCAGCAGCAAGCCACAAAAATATCCCAGCAAGGACCAGACTGAGTATTACTCCCAGGTGTGACCGGCCCTCATACTGAAAGCATATAAGGAGAGGGAAACAAATCCACAAGCCAAAAATCTTAGATGAACAGAAGCAGTGTGTTGCTGAAAACAGCAAGATGCCACCTGAGCGTAATTCTAACTACTCGTGGTTTTTAGAGACCGGGGTTCCCCCCACATACTTTTATTTGCAAGCTGTTTACTGTGATGCTCTCTTTAAATTATTAGTTTAGGCAGTAGCGCCCTGTTGAAGTCACGCAGCCCTCGGGGCTACAGTGTGCAGGCAAGTTTCATCATGGGCCCTGATACCTGGGAGGGCGTGAAAAACATGATCAGAACACACAGCTTTAACGGCGTCACAAAAAACAAAACAAAATAAAGACATAACATTTTGTATGTGGAATGTGACAGTGAACCTGCACCAACACAGGGTTTAACTGTGGAAATTCCCAGGGAGGTATTACTGGAGTTGTTGTCTCTTCCTGGGTTGAAGCCCTGGGAAGCAAATATTTATCCAAGATAAGAGCTCTTGACTGTCTCGGAAATGAATTGTCCGAAATTTATGACTTGATGGGTGTCCGTGTCTGATGACAAGACAATAGATCTAAAGGAAGCTGTCGTTTCCTGAGCTTCCTACACAGGACCGTCTCTAAAGTGGTGTATCTGCACATCTTCACACATGAGCGGCTGCAGGTTTCGCGCTGCTTCCTGCTGGTTCAACAGTAGCACCTTCATCTACAGGTTGGACCAGACCTCCCATCAATGCTTCCTACTAGTTGTCGAAAACAAAGGTTTATGTTTTCATGGAAAACAAGTTTTGTGAAGATTTAACCAGTGCATGTAGCTGCACTAAGAGTCATAATCTTTACAGAGAGCAAGAAAATTGTGAATGAAAAAAGAGACACCGACAAACATAAAGATATCATTTTCATAATGTTTTCTATGATTTGACAAAATTAGGAAAACAATCCTGGATTTAACGAGCATGCATACTGGTACAAATTTGCTGTGTCGCAAACTCCTGGCAGCAAAAAGAAGGACAGTTTTGGTACAACAGCGTCATCTAGCGTTTACCAGAATAAGGTCACACAGGACACAAACGTTTGTAAGGACATGAACACAAGTGACTGTACAGCACAGAAAAGTTTCAGTTTAGTTGTCATGACGATTATTTTACATAGCAGATTTAAAAACACAGATGCTGACAACAGTGGCACACAATAAGCGATTGAAACAAAAAAAAGGCATTTAAACTATTACATTTAAACAATACACACAAGTGGAAATCATTTCTTTAAAAAACACTATATACAGAGTGAGAGAAGATAAGATCATAAAAGTGCATTTTTCTGTGATGCAGAAACTGACACCACAGATGTAACCCACACAGGTGTGTGATGCCTGGGTTTATGATCAGTGTTGCTGTGACTTCCACATCCTTGAGATGAAAATAGATGCCAAATTCAAACTGTTATTAACCCCACCACAAAGCAGTGAAAACGAATCCACTCTGGGGACACGTATATTCACAATAACCCAGAATCACACACACACACACACACACATGCAGTGACCCGGCTACATGCCAGAATCTTGAAAACATATCCACACCAGGGACAGTTTAGTACAGATGGAGGGAGGGGGTGGAAAACGCTCCTGTAATCTTAATCCCTCTGCACTCTTCAACTACAGAGACTGAATCAGTCAAATTTTATTAGATTTACTAAACATTTGCACACAAGACACATTTTTGACCTTTCACCCTTTTCAGGAAGTCAGCGGAGCCACTCGTGCTCTTTTGTAGCGACGCCCTGTTTCACACGTGCACGTCTCATACAGTAGATGCACATATGCTCACTGGGCGGGTTCACTCAAACATTGGTGGAGTTAACCACCTTCCTCAGAAGACATCTCAACAGACAACCTATTTTTGTGAACTAGGATTATTTAGTAAAATTGAAACTGTTAACTTGCAAAGTCTCAACTCAGTGCATTTTAACTTGATCTGATTTCTTCTAAGATGAGATTGTACAGCCAAGCAGGCTAACATGGTGAAGTTAAGGAAGTAGAGCATTTGCTATGTTCACCAACTTTTACTTATGGCAATATTACATGTCATCATCTTTGTTTCTTTCTTTGATTTATGTATTTTTCTCTTTATTACCTCGCTTCCTGCAGGTATTTATGGTACTTGGTGTTTACTGTTTGCTTTCTTTTTATCTCTGTGTATCACCCCACTCGTCCCAGCCCGGTGAGGCAGACTATTGTTTTCAGTGAGTCTATAAAAGCATCTTTTACAGCAATAAATTCAAGTGGTTTTTTTCTGTATGACTATGTGCTTTATTCTGTAAAGATCCTAGATTATTAGAGAGAAAACTCCAACAATTTGGTGACAGTGGGAAGAAAGAACTCCCTTTAAACAGGAACAGACCTCCAACAGAACCAGATTATTAGGCTCAGTGCAGACGTTTGTACATTCTACATTTTGTTGAGACACAAATCAACAGATGTGGATGTATCCTTCCACCAGAGCTTTTTTTAAAAAGTGTAACAGAAAAATAGGATTGACCGCTCATTCATGCAGTCAGCAGCTGTCTCTGTGCATGTACTTGAAATCTGCTCAAATGACACATCACAGTTGGTGTACTTATAATGTAGTGTAAAAAAAATTAGTGAGATGGTGATCTTTGCGTATATCCTTTGATGAGGAATTTTACATTTCAGACTCTAGCAAACCCCTGCCAATTCCTGTGTAGAGAAGCAGTATGACTAGTGGGTCAGCAAAGACTTACCCTCTGGGAGTTCACGAATGCCTGCGCAAAATTTCAAAGTAATAAATCCTGTAGTTGTTGAGAATTTTCAAAACCATAGTGGTGAAAGTGTGAGCCAAAGAAAAACATTTAAAGCTTATTGTTGGAATTGTCCATAGAAACTGGAATAACATTTATGTTAGACACATTCTTGGTAAAACTGTATTTTTTTAATGGTGGTAAGTGAGAATAATGGCCTTTATAATTTGTGTGAACCAGGCTTTTATCTATGTAAGCTTAACCCAGTGAACTTCAGCAAGGATTAGTGGTTTATTTTCAGCGTGAAACTTTGTGGGGCTGACATGTTTGCTTTTGGATATCAAGTCACACACTGAAGCAAACTTGTTTTCCATCCTGATTGTTTTCTCGTAGCATCAAAACGTCAGCAACTGGTGTTCTTTTACATTTCCAGCCACTGCCTTAGACTGAGGTTTTCTAATGGAAACTGATGTCTTGGGTTTATGATGTAAGAGAAAATGTGAAGTATTTTGTGGCTTAGGTCAGTCTAAACAACAGATGCATGTTGAGGGTCTTTATATACTGGACCCATCCTCAGTGTTTGCTTTGGGGATTACTCTGTCACTGATTGCTGCCTCATCTGACTGATCTCCTTACACTTCCCCAATGACTTAGGTAATCCATTAATGCAGGGAGGTTAGAAAGTAAAATCTTACTGGACTGAAATGCATTTATATGATGCTGAGCAGAGTCTTGATGATGCAATCTGCACCACTCACCTCAAATCCATTTAAAGTTGTCTGGGAGGCTTTCTGTCACAGCTACAAAAAGGTGACAAGGTCTGCCTTTTAGCAGTCTGCTTACTTAAAACGGAGTTCATCATTAACTCAGAGGAGCTGAGAGCCTTCTCCAGATAAACCACTCTGTAAACATCTCCCCCCATCATTTTTTCCCTCTTGTGTCTTGTTAAGGGGTGCAGGGAGGACAAACACTGACCTAGCTAAAGATGGTACACATCTTCTCATTTTTTTTCTAATAGATACAGTGGTCAAAGTATGCAGTTTTGCACACTGAGTGATACCGAAGGCAACATCAGAGCAAGATAGAGTGGGAGGAGAGGCAGAAGGTTACAGTTCAAGGGAAAGAATGAGGGAGGGAAGGATGCAACGGGAAGTTGGGCCGTGCAAGTTTTACCACATCGTGTACCCACCTGGCCTTTAACAGATACCTTTATCATCTCGTACCAAATGAACCTATGAGTGGAGATAAGACAGACCTAAACAGGGATTTTATTACATTTTTATGTTAAAGAGCTCCATTAAATTTGCAAAGACCAATACGGATAAACCTACAAACATTTAGGTTTTGTGAGCAGTTCCAAAATTAGTCTATATGCCATCTTTTAACTCCCTCATTCACTCATCTTCTCTTTTTCAAAAGCTCTTTTGGCTTTTGTGGGAACAAAAAAAAAGACTAAAAGCCACAACTGGAAGCAGATGAAAGGCAACAAGAGTAAAGAGCGAATGTCGTGTCAGCATCTAACGTCTTCTCATTATCCAATAAGAGAGAAGCAGTTGTCAGTGTCCAACTTCATCCTGTTATCCAGAGAGAAAGATGGATGGTAGTGGTGCCTGAAATACTCAAGGGACCTGGAGAAATAAACAAAGTGCAAACTTTTAGTCTCACGATCACTCACGCACCGAGGGAGATTCTAACAGGAGTCTATCCTGGGCCTTTTTAGTGAAACTCTAGAGCATAGCTGCTCCAGGCATGGTATTCCCATTGTAAACACAGTCATGAGGAGGCAGAGACAAGTGGAGGAGGATCTGCTCTCCCCAATCTGTTT